AGAGAGAGAGAGACAGAGAGACAGAGAGACAGAGACAGAGAGAGAGACAGAGAGAGACAGAGAGAGAGACAGAGACAAAGAGACAGAGAGATCTGTAACTACCAGATAGATATCTGTATCAGATCAGATATATGTATCAAATAGATCTCAGATAACTATACGTATCTATAGGGAAAGACAGATCTATCTATCTCTATCTCTCTATCTCTCTATAGGGATACATATATATACATAGAGAGAGAGAGAGATTTAACTGTATCTGTCTATATGTTAGATCCATCTATCTATCCATATATATATGTATATAGTTCTATAGTATATGTGTGTGTGTGTGTACATATGTATATGATCCAGTAATTGCATCTCTGGTTCAGAGCCTGGTCTTTAGATTCCCTTTAAAGTCCTATCTCCATTTTTACTCCAAGATCCTGAACATGTCACTCATTGAATCCCACTAGCTGGGTGCTGGTGGCTCACGTCTGTAATCCTACTCATTCAGGAGGCTGTGATCTGAGGATCATGGTTTGAAGCCATGTTCTTATCTCTGAATTTTCTAGCCAAAAGCTGGAAGCAGAGGTGTGGCTCAAGTGGTAATAATACCTGCCTTGAACAAAAAAAGGCAAGCAAAAGTATGAGGCTGATTTCAAGCCCAGGTAGCAGTATGAATAAACAAATAATTATCTTTGATGGTGGAAAGACCAAAAAATGCTTTCAATTAAGCTCAGAGCCAAAACTGAACTGTGCCTGTTGTTCATCCTCTATAGATGGCCCCATGTCCCTATCTAGCAGGGAGAGAGAGTGTGGCTCAGGAAGCATGAGGGCTGGCGTACGTGCATGCAGCCCACTGTCCTGCCTCTCACTTGTAAGCACTTCCTTGTCACCCAGCCAGGAGGCATGGTCCCCTTCCCAGGCTGCCTGGGAATTACTTCCCTCTTGTTCATGTCTGTTCTTGCACAACTTTCTCTAGCTTGACCTCAGAAGGGAAGAGCCCAATCTCTGAATGGTGGATGGGGCTACATTTCCAGGACTTCTGGGACCATTTCATGCTGCTCTTGGCCTGTTTTCCCCCAGGGAGGATGGGCTTGAAGGCCCGCAGGGCCCTGAGACATCCAGGCTGTGTTTTGAGATGGCTCTGGCCATGGGAAAGGAACACTGTCCCAGTCCTGAAGGTCACCCCTCCCAGAACAGAACAACAGCTTCTGACCTCAGGGATAAGACACAGGCAAGATGATTTATTTTTCCTCCTCTTTGAATTTCTCTTAGCAAGTCACAGGATTCCTTGGAGTCTCCAGTTCCTGCCCCGGTCACTTGGAGAAGCCTGTTTTCTCTGTGACCACAGCCTCTCAGGCACCAATGTGCCGCTTCTTCCTACGGGCCCCTCCCCTGCCTGAGGGTTTCCGTTTCTGGAATTTGGCTCTGGTCCTGTACTTTCTGCTCCCTCCTCCTTGAGAATATGTAGTCAAAGAACAGAAAAGGGTCAGGAACCAGGGTCTTATGCCTATAATCCTAGCTACTCGGGAGGCTGAGATCTGAGGATCTTGGTTTGAGGCCAGCTGGGTTAAGAAAGTCCATGAGACTCATCTCCAATTGCCCAGCAAAAAGCTAGAAGTAGAGCTATGGCTCAAGTGGTAGAGTGCTAACCTTGAGCAGAAAAGCTCAGGACCAGTGCCTAGGGCCAAGGCCTAAATTGAAGGAGAGAATCAACCCATTCACCAGGCACCATGCGAGGACATCAGAGCAGCATTAAGCAGGACAGGCAGGAGCGTGGAATTGAGAGGATGAGGGCCAGGCTGGACAGACGTTCACTCCCAGGTTTATGGAGCCAAGACCTGGCCCCAGTGTGGTTCATAGGTGCCAGTCACGGCAAATTTTCCAGGGGCAGATGTACAGGTTGATCCAATGGGCACAGGCCCATGGGGAAAGCTGCAAATCAAGCACCCTAACCTTCTTCACTGACAGCCACCAGTTGTAACTCGCAGAAAAGCATGGATTGGAGGGGCTGGTAGCATTTGAGTAGGCCTCTGTGATCACCCTTGACCTCAGCATTGTGGTTTTGGTATAAAATAGTGCCCAAAGGCCACATGCTTATAAGGCTGTGAGGTCACTTTGGGAGGTGGCGGAATGCCTAAGGGGTCGGGCTTAGTAGAAGGAAGTGAGGTCACTGGGGGTATGCTTCTGAAGGGGACAGTGGGACTCTGACCAAGGGGTCCTTGCTTCCATTTTACTTCCAGGCCACCAGAAGGAACCTGATTTACTCTACCACATGCTCCTGCCATGATTTTCTTCCTTGCAAAACAACCAAGCCAACTGCCTGCAGACTGTAAGCTCAGAAATCATGGGCTGAAATAAATCTTTCCTCTCTTCAATTTGATTTTCTTAGGTATTTTGTCATAGTAACAGAAAGCTAACAAATACACTTGTGCATCCCAGGGCTGGGGAGACCAAACTTTAATGTGGGATGACTGCGTTGCTTGCTGTGTTTGGAGACTCAGCCATCACCTGCTCAGAATGAAGGAACTTAAAGGAGAGACTGAGGCAGGGAAGGAAGAAGAGTTTCATACCCCCCGTGACAGGCCAGACACAAGCACCCCAGGAAGCAAACCCTGAGGGATTCTCTGTAGCCACTGAGGCTTGAACTCAGGGCCAAGCACTGTCCCTGGGCTATTTTGCTCAAGACTAGCTAGCACTCTATCACTTGAGCCATACCTCCACTTCCAGGTTTTTAGTAGTTAACTGGAGATACAAGTCTCATGGACTTTCCTGACTGGACTGGTTTTGAACCACAATCCTCAGATCTCAACCTCCTGAGTAGCTAGGATTATAGGCATGAGCCATTGGCACCCTACGGCACTATAGTTTTATGACATTTTTGTCAAATCCCCCAAGTTCCCTCTTTCCCTTTTACAACTAACCTCCATTCCTACCTACAATTATGGGGAGCCTGATTTTACTTCCCATCTCTGTGAAAACACCTTTCCTAGGCATTTGGTTGAAACAAAATAATACAATTGTTAAATGTTGCATCTGGCATCATTCATTTAGTCATGTTTTGATTCCAGCCTTTGTCTGTATTCTGTATTCCTTACCAAGTAGTACTTTATTGGATACACTGCTAAGTTATGTTTATTCATTCACAAGTTAATGAACAAACTTAGATTGTCTCCAGCTTCAGCTGCAATGAATAAATCAGCTATGAACAATTCCACATGGCTGTTTATGTGAGCATTTTCCTATGACAGATGACTACATGTGGAATTTACTGGTTCATATGGTTAGTTTAATGCCTTTAAAAACTATAAACTATTGTCTTGTTTGGCTGCCCCATTCCTACCAGCAATGCGTGAGGATCCATTTTCTCTACTCTTTTGTCAGTTTTTAACATTGTCTGTTACTATGATCACAGCCATTGTAGTAGAGATGTGGTATTGCACTGTGATTTTTTTTTGTGGTTGGTTGTTTGGCTTGAATTCAGCCTGGGTGCTTTCCCTGAGTTCTTTTGCTCAAGGCTAGTGCTGTAACATTTTGAATCACAGTCTACTTCTGTTTTTTGGTGGTTAATTGGAGATAAGGCTCTCATGCATTTTCCTGCTCTGGCTGGATTTGAACTGTGATCCTCAAATCTCAGCCTCCTGCGTAGTGAGGATTACAGATGTGAGCCATCAGCACTCCACTGCATTGTGATTTTAATTGGAATTTCCCTAATGATTTCCCTAAGGAGACACAAAATATTTTCATGTGCTTAATAGCACATTTGTTAGGGAACTTTATATTCAAATCTTTTTGTTCATTTGTAATTGTGCTATTTGTCTTCTTCTTATTGAGTTAGAAAAGCTCTTTATATAATTAGGAACTAATTTTCTTATCACTATCTGATCAGTAGGGACTCTCTCTCATACGGTGGCTTATCTTTTCTTTGCTTTAGTGGTATCTTTGGAAAGGCAAAGGTTTTGAATTTTATCAATTTCTTTGCTTAGAAATACTGCACAGTGTCGCAAAGATTTTTCTCATAGCTATTTTACAAATTTATCCTTTACACTTAGGTCTAATTTCCCATCAATTTTGAGGACAGTATAAGATAAAGGTCTCTGTGTTTTTGTCTATGGACAGTTCTGGGCCCTAGAACCTTTCATTAAAATGACCTTACCATAGGGCTGTCTTGGCATTTTTGCCAAGATTCACCTAACATTTAGTGTAAGGATCGATTTCTGGGCTCTCAATTATGTTCTATTGACCCCTATGCCTATATTTGACCAACTTTTCATTTGCTTGATTCTTGTAACCTCAGAATAAGTTTTGAAAAGAGGAAAAGAAAATGCTCTCTGTTCTTTCTGAAAATTGTCTTCTAAAATCTAGAATCAGCTCATTAGCATAAGCAAAACCGTGCCATTGTTAAATCAGCATCAATTAGTTGTACAAGGGGGGGGTAGATTCTGACATGTCCATTTATGCACACAGAGCATCTTGATCAAGATGATCCTCTCATCATTCTCCCTCCTCTTCCCTCCACAAACCAGTCTCAGCAAGTTTCGTTGCTCCATTTTCACACATGCACACAAAGTATTTTGGCCACATTCGCCCTCCTGTATCCTCTGTGTTTGCCCATCCCCCTCACACTAGTATCCACCTATGCGGTACACACAAGGTAATTGTCCAAAGAGGCCTCATCATCGAAAACGATTGTAACCTGTGCTGTATGCTCCACCAGCAAAGGTGAGTGGGGATGTGCAGAACAAATCAGTCCCCTAGAGGGCGATTAGGGGTGTGTACTCAGAAGGTAGCTTGGTTCAGCCCTTCCAGCCCTGAACACCCACATGGCTGGCACCCTGAGCCACTTGCCATCTGATTTTGCAAATAACACAACTTCAAATGCGCAAACGCATGCAGAGCACACATTTATAGACTTTGTGCATTAATGTGCAGATCTTCTCATTTAAAAAATGCATCTTTCACCAAAAGAAAATAACAAGTCATTGCATATGGAACTAAGAAAATCTCCCTACCTGTTCTGAGGACATTTCACCAAATAATGTCTCACTGTAAAAGAAAAACAAAGAACAGAAGACAGTAAATAAATGGTACTTTGGAAACACTCAAGTCATTCCCTAAAATGCAGGAACTCTGGTCTTTCTGGGTGTTGGTGCTATACCACCCCAAGGGCTTCTTGCATGCTTCTCTTTGGAGGAAATGCAGCAGAATGATACAAGCAGGTACAGAGATACCAGGGGTATGATTTTCTCCAGCTGTGCATGAGCCAAGTGAGAAGCCTCACACCTCAGGCTTCCTGGTTACCTAACCTATAATGTTCATTTGGGGCCAATGCATGTTGAGTTGGGTCCTAACCTGAAGGGTCCTGAACTAATAAAGTCACCCAACATCTGAGCTCAGTCTTAGTCATGAGGAAGTGTTTTGGGGACAGATCAGGTAATGCGTCTCCATTCAGAAGCTCCTCGGTATAAAATGGTTTGCATTCTTTAATGAACACTCTTTCAAGATGCAAAAGAGGCCTTTGCAAAGCTGGGCTTTGTAGTGGTATTTGCCTGTCATTCCAGCACACAGAAGGCTCAGGTATGAAGATGAAAATTTCCATGGTCTTTCCAGGACAGCCTGTGCTATAGAGCAAGTTCCAGGCCCATCTGGAGTACATAATGAGACTTCCGTTTTGTTTTGTTTTGTTTTTAATGAGCTAAGTGTTGGTGGCTCCTATCTGTAATCCTAGCTACCCAGGAAGTTGAGATCTAAGGATTGAGACTTGAAAGGAGCTCAGGCAGGAAAGTCTGTGAGGTGCTATCTCCAATAAACTACCCAAAAGCCAGAAGTGGAGCTGTGGCTCAAATAATAACGCACTAGCCTGGATCTAAAGAAGCTCAGGAACAATGCTCAGGCTTGAATTCAAGCCCCAGGATCAGCATACACAATAAATAAATAAATAGATATCCTTGATAAACCAGTCTTAGAGCAAGACATCCTTGTACAGTAGATCTTTCGGGGGGGGGGGGGAATACTAAATGATTCTGGCTGCAAAGGAGAAACAAAATACTGGACCATTAATCTGTCAAGTATCCAATTGAAGGTTTGCAGCTGGGCTCAGTTCAAACAGAAGGAAAGCTGAAACAGCCAGCAGGACCTGTGTTTGCTGCCTTACGCAGTGACTCTGGGCTCAGCCGCATGCCTTGCCTGGGCCAAAGGAGTATTAGCCAATGTAGAACAAGTCAACGCCTAAAACACCACCTGAGGAAGCCTGCTTGACCCACCAGGAGATGAAAAGGAGGCAGCAGGCTTCACAGCTGAGACTCCAGGAGAGCCCAGTCTCAGCCCCTCCGTAAGTAGATTACATCTGCAACAATGACTCAGGGTGAGACTAGCAAACGAACTGTCCCACCAAGTCTAGCCCAAATTGAAGACCATGAAATTCCTTGCAAATGAAACATCTGTGTCATGCCACACCACATTTGTGAGTGATTTGTGTAGGAAAAATACAGGATCCAGGGCAGGATCCAGCATCCAACACTATAAAACTTTTTGTGTGTCAAAACCTAAGAGAAAGGCCCATGGAAAAAACACCTCAATGTCAACCTCCCAGCCTCACAACTGTGAGAGCACAACTATCAGTGATTTCCTATGACATAAATGTCTGAGTCCCGTCAGGAGCTAGTGGCTCACACCTGTAATCCTAGCAACCTAGGAGGCTGAGATGGGAGAATCGTGAATCAACGCCAGCAGGAACAAAAGAGTCCATGAGACTCTTATCTCCAATTAAGCACAAGACTCCAGAAGTGGTGCTGTGGTTCAAGTGGTAGACTTAAGCAAATAAAAGCTCAGAGCTATCACCTAGGCCCTGTGTTCAAGCTGCAGGACAGGAACAAAAATTAATTAGTCAATTAATTAATTAAAATAAAAATTAATTAAAGTAAAAAATAAGTGCCCGAGCCCTGTCTGAGGGCTTTGCTGAGCACACTGAGTACACTGAGCACTGAGGAAAGAGCAGATGCCCTCTTCAATCCCTCTTCAAAACCACTCTCACAAAACCATGAGCAGGCAGCACTGAGATCCCTACAGATGGAGAAACTTCAGAGTCTCCCAGGATTCCACAGCAGGAGCCAGGCAGCACTTAGGCTGGAGGTAAGAGAGTCCCAGGAGCTGGCCTGTGTTGGGAGAGGTGAGGAAAGATGACAGCCTGAAGGCTTTGGAAGTGAGGAGCCCGGAAAGAAATGGAGGTAGCAGCTAAGAAAAGCAAGGAGCCTGGTCAGCATAGGTTACAGAAGATGCATGCCAGTTTGGGGTGGGGGGGAAGAGGGGAGTCTGAGGCCAAAGCCAGGTACATGCAGGGCTGGCACTCCCATTCATAAAGTGATTCTAGACACAGGTGACTATGCATCAGCAGTGCTGATTACGGAGTGTAGGGAAACTCAGTGTGGAGCCCCACAGCGGCAGAGACCCCAAGGTAAGAATTTGGATGCAGTAGTGTTTAAAAGGAGATCCTAGGGGCCACACTGGGGAGCTGGGAAGGATCAGGGAAGAGAAGAAAGCCTTTTATTAAGAGTGGATAATGGAACAAACTTTCTCCATGGGTGACTGCTTAGCACCCAGCACACTGGATCTAAAGACTGGTTAGCCAGACCACTCAGGGCAGGCGTGTGTGTGTGTGTGTGTGTGTGTGTGTGTGTGTGTGTGTGTGTGTGTGTGTGTGTGTGTGTGTGTGTGTGTGTGTGTGTGTGTGTGTGTGTCCTGGGGCTTGAACTCAAGGCCTGAGCTTTTTTTTTTTTGCTCAAGACCAGAGCTCTACAACTTGAGCCACATCTCTACTTCCAGCTTTTTCTTTTGCGGGGGTGGGGGTTGTTAAAGGTAAGAGTCTCATGAATTTTCCTGCAATCCTCAGATCTCAGCCTTCTGAGTAGCTAGGATTATAGGCATGAGCCACCCAAGCCAGGCTGGGGCATGAATCTTTTTCAATGATAGTCTTTCAAACTGTGGAATGTCAAAGGCTGAAAGGAAGATAAGTCTTTCCTATATCTGCTGCCAGAAAGCCACAGTCCTGAGCCACACCCGCCCTTTCTCCTCTTCCTTGGCCAAAACCTTGGATCACCACAAATGCAGGCAGATTTGGTCTCCATTGGCACTGTCTCTGTCGCCTGGCAGCTGGGTGTCCATCTGATCAGTCCTGCATGGAGGCCAGGCTCTTCCAGGTGTGGCTGGCCTGCTCTCACCTCTGATCCGCTCACCCTGTACTTGGGTCCTACAGAGATGCTGTATTGGATCCCTGATGCCTCTACTTTGTTCATTGAGTGTTTCTTACCCACAGTGAGTCTCCAAGATGGGTACCTCTACTTTCCTGCAACCTCAGCCAGTACAGGGAGCCCAACAGTGTAGAAAAGCACTGCTAATATTTGAGATCCAGGCCATGAGCACTGCCTGCAGTTCCCTGCTGGGAGAGACAAGACAGAAATACCCCCTCCCCCCACACAGTCCTGTGTTCTCACCATGTGAGACCTGAAGGCCCACAACATCCAGGAAACAGGCCTGCCCTGCCCAGAATACAATCCCATTCATAATCTTTTCTTTTGATTTTGTGCCAGTCCTAGAGCTTGAGCTCAGGGCCTGGGCACTATCCCTTAGCTATTTTGCTCAATGTAGTCACTCTACCACTTGAAACACAACTCCACTTTTTGGTGATTAATTGGGGATCAGTGTCTCCTGTGTCCTTTTCTGCCCAGGCTGACTTCGAACTGTGATCCTCAGATCTCAACTTCCTAAGTAGCTAGGATTACTACAGGTGTCAGCCATGACTGCCCTGCCTATACATACATACTTATATAGCCTTTATTTTAAGAGTTAAATATAAAAGATGATTGCCTTTTCCAGATCTCAAATATTCTCAAAAGAAGAGATGAAAATATTAGAATTTGCTTTACTGTATGATAAATCACCTTCCTCTTTCTCCTTTAATTGTAGAACAGTAAATTGACTTGAGAGGATACAGGCTGCACACCTTACTTATCTATAAATTTCATGTCAAATTAATAATTGGAACATTTAAGAATATTTGTTATAAGCTGAGTATGGTGGTGCACAGCTGTAATTCCAGCTACATAGTAGGTAGGAGTGGAGGGTCACAGTCTAGGCCAGCCTGGGGCAAAAGTGAAGACCCTATCTGAAAAAAATATCTGGTAAAACACCTGCCTAGTAAGCATGAGACATTGATTTCAAATTCCAGTAACACACACACACACACACACACACACACACACACACATACACATACACACAGAGATTGTTTGGTGCTGGTGGCTCATGCCTGTAATCTTAGCCACTCATGAGGCTGAGACCTGTGGATAACTAGTTCAGGCAGGAAAGTCCATGAGACTCTTATCTCCAATTAACCAGCAAAAAAGCTGGAAGTAGAGCTATGGCTCAAGTGGTAGAGTGCTAACCTTGAGCAAAAAAGCTAAGGGACAGTGCCCAGGCCCTAAGTTCCAGCCCCAGAACTGGCACAATAATAATAATAATAATATGCTTTAGAATGTTTGCAGCTTCTGCTCTAGGACTGCTGGGCCCAGGTAAGGGGGCCACTCGGGCCCATCATATGCACCCCTTTGTCCTTGCCCTCAGTGTGTGTGGAGTGCATGGCTCCTGGGCCAACAGTGGGTGGGACCTGTCCAGCCTGCATCATAGGATACCATCCTGTGATACTGAGAAGAGTCACATGTCCAAGGCTGAGGAGCCGGGGAAGATGGAGCTCTTTGGAGTGTGGATGGACATTCCTTCAGCCATTTCCAGAATTTCTAGGATTTCTAGAATTGAAATATGGTAGACCTGAGGAGTGGTTGGGCCTGAGCCTCACCTCTGTCCTTCTATTTTGAGGTCTTATCAGTCCCCTGAGCCTTGCTCGGTTGACACAGGAGCTAGTCAGGGTGCCATCCAGGACTGAGTGAGGACTTGGAGGAGCCATACCAGGAGCCTGGCTTACAGCAGGTACTCAGACTGCATTGGCCAACTGAGGAGGGCTTTTAAATGCTGAGTACAGTGCCCACCCCAGAGCCCATACTCATTCTCTGAATTTTCCGCGAGTCCAGGAGAAGGTTCCAGCAGCTCTTGTGTGTCCCGATTGTCCTTTGTGGCTGTGCTTTCCCCACCCCACCCCCCACCAGTCCTGCTATGGACCTCATGGGGCCTGCAGCTCAAGTGTGATCTTTCATGCCAAGCCCTGGCACAGGACCCTATAGAAAACAGCTGGTCTGGAAACTGCTCTAGATCTTCCAAGCTCCAGCAGCTGGGAACAGAGCAGCTGTGAAACAAAGCCATTTGTTCACCATTTGTGAAGTCAAGTTCCAAACAAGGCAAGTCACACCCATGGTCCCTGTCTCACAGTGGCCTCAGGAAGGGAGGTGTGTGCCAACGCCATGTGCAGCAGGTGCCACTAGCTGAGAGAGGCTGTTGAAGAGGGCTGAATGAGACAGAAGGGTGGGGCCACGGAGAGGGTAGGTGTCACGGAGCTGGCTATGCAGGCCAGCAGTCACTCCCTGCTGGACAGATTCTCCGAGCTGCAAAATGGAGGCTTCCTGAGAGACAGGGACTCCAGCAACCCCAAGCAGCACTCAGAGAACTCAAGAACAGCAGAACTCACAGGCCTGAGAAAGACAAGCAGGAAGAGAGAATGAGCTAGGGATGACAGAGAGTAGGGAACCAGTAATACTGACAAGAAAGGAGGCAGGCTGTGTCAGTAGCTCATGCCTATAATCCTAGGTACTTGGGAGGCTGAGATACAGAGGATTACAGTTCAAAGCCAGCCTGGGCAGAAAAGTCCTTGAGGCTACATGACCAAGTCAATCAGCAAAAAGCCAAGCTAGAGGTGCGGCTCACATGGTAGAAAACCAGCTGAGCTAGAAAGCCAAGTAATCATGAGGCACTAAGTTTAAACCCCAGCACCAGAAAGAAAAAAAAAACAAAGGTAGGAGGGAATACTCAGGCTGCACAAGCAAAGAAAGGAGGAGGAACTGCAGATGCCAGCTGCCTGTGAAGTGACAGCTCTTGATAATGATAAGAAGTTGCATCCAAGGAAGGATATGTATGATATATAAAGCCCCTTCATGAATGAGAAGACTCAAAGTCCAGAACAGTTTAGGATCCCATCCAGTCTTAAGAGATGGAGCCAAAAATGCAGCCCCCAGGCTTTGTCCATGCCCTGCAGCTTCTTCAGAGCAGGGGAAAATGAGATGAGAGGGATTGTGGATCTCAGAAACCCAGGGGGAAAGGAGCTTGAAGCAAAGGAGCATCCAGACAATGCCACAGCCGTCAGTGTATTTCAGCAGTGTCTGAGAGAAACACATCCGCACGCTGACCTTGCTTGCCAGTTCCTGTAATGCCTGACTCAGGATGTCTTTTCCTCCAAAGTACTACTTTGCCCAGCACCTTCTGCCGGTCTGTGGGCGGCGTCCTCTTTTCCAGACATGACCTTATCTGTTTTCTTACCTCGGGATTTCCTCTTGTGAAACACAGACTGGCAGAAGATGACCAGGGTGAAGAGCAGAACGCTGAGGATGCCCACACAGCACACGAGGACAGCGCACACATAGAGATCTGAAAGAGAAGGGCACACGGGGGGTCAGTGCCGTGGGAACTGCATGCTCACCTAACAGTGTTCTAGACATCCCCCTACTACAGTGCAGCATGTGGCTGGAAGGACAGATGAATCAAATGGAATCAAGAGCCCAGAAATGGGCCCTTATAAGTACGTTCAATCTTTTTTTTTTTCCCTAGTATGAGACTTGATCTGAGGACCTTGAGGTCTTACTCTGCTTTCTTCTACATGGTTGGTGCTCTACCACTGGAGCCATGCCTTCATCCTGGACTTTTGGTGGTAAATTGGAGATGGGACTTCCAAAGACTTTTTTTGCTTGGGCTGAATTCCAACCATGATCTTCAGATCTCAGCCTCCTGAATAGGTAGGAATATGTCAGTGAGCCACCAACACCTGACTCAACTGATTTTTTTTTTTTTTTTTGCCTATTACAAAAGTGCTTCAAGTTAGTGGCTCTGCCTGTACTCTTAGCTACTCAGGTGGCTGAGATCTAAGTATCTTGATTCAAAGTAGCCTTGAACAACAACATAAAATAAGCTCAGGGACAGCACCAAGGCTCTGAGTTCAAGCCTCAAAACCAGTACCAACACACACACACACACACACACACATACACACACACACACACACACACACACAAACAGTGTAAGTGAAGATTCTTCCCTACATGCTGAAGTGGTCAGACTTCCTTCCATTTAAAATGATAGAGATAAAAATTCAAAATGAACCACAAATCTAAATTTAATTTAGGCAGAAAAAAGCATAAGAGAGAAATCTGTAGAATCTAAGCTGAAGCAGAGACTTAATAGCAGAAATACTCCCCATATAAGTAACACTTGAGGTGCTGGAGTGAAATGAGGTGCTGAGCTCAGACCCAGCATCCATCAGGCCCTGAGTTTGGTACCCAGTAAATAGCAAAACAAAACAAGAAGTAGAACTTGACCAATTTGATTGCATCCATATTGAAAAGTTTTGCTCTGTAACCAACCCTGTAGAGTCAAGCTACAGATTTATATAAAATCTGAAGATTTCTCCAAACATAACATAAGATAATCTAACAATCCTTTCATGAAAAAGCAAAACATAGAGACATTACCAAAGAGAATGTGCAGGGAGCAAAGAAACACATGAGAATTTCCTCAGCCATTAAAGAAATAGAAAGTACAACCACAGAGAGATATCCCACACAGCATTCAAAATGGCTAAAGTAAGAACTAGTAGCAGTACCAAATGCTGGCAAGGTATGGATGAACCATGGCATTCACAAACTTCTGGACAGTAAAAAGGCCTGAATCTTACTGTAGGCAGTTTGGTATTCTATACATTCTTTTCCATAGCAAATGATTCAAGCATTCATAAACACGAATCTCGATACACTGATCACATTATACTATTCAGATTTAATTCCTAGAGCAGGAACATACCTTTGTAAAGCCCTTGTCTTTGAAGAAATGTGTGTGTGTGTGAGTGTGTGTGTGTCTGTCTGTCTGTCTGTCTGTCTGTGCATACTCAGGCACATACACATCAGTATTGGGTCTTGACCTCAAGGCCTCAAACTCTCATTTGGCTCATTTTGCTCAAGGCTCGCACTCTATCACTTGAGCCACCTACACCTCCACTTCTGGCTTTTCTTGCTGTCTGATAAGAGATAAGAGACTCAAGAATTTGTCTGCCTGGGCTGGCTTCAAATAGCATGTCTTCAGATCTCAGCCTCCTGAGTAGCTAGGATTGCAGACATGAGCCACTGGTGCTCAGCTGGAAGTGGATATTTGAATTCTTAAGCTGAAAAGGCCAGCATACCAGTAGGGACAAGTGGCAGGGGTGGTTGGTGGCTGGCCTCTCAGGGGAGCCTGGAGATGTGGGTCGGACTGGCAGTCAGTGGAAGGGGGAGAGGACAGACCAGGGTATCTAGTGAGTTCCACCTCTTTCTTCCATGGTCCCAGGCTCAGGGAGGCCCAAGGCAGCCTCTTCCCTATAGTCCAGGAGGTCTTTGTCTGAGACCAGGCCTGAACTTGGTATCCGATGCTTTTGCTCACTGGCTGATTTTTCTACCACCTCCAACCCCATCTTCTTATTTTCTTAGGCATGGTCAACATTTATTTCTAAGCTAGTTTGAGTAGGTTTCTGTGACCGGCCACTAAACATTCTACACTCAAAATAAAATAAAATGGTCAGCCCTCTGTACCTGCAGCTGATCACACATGGATCAGAAACATCTGGAAAAGGGGGAGGGGCTCCAGTGAACATACATAGACATTTTCCTTGCCATCATTCCCTAAATAATGCAGTACAGAAACTACAATATACCTGACACTTTATCGGTTATGGTAAATCATCTAGAGATGATTAGAAATATTCCAGAGGGTTATGTAGATTCCATTCAAATACAACACTATTTTCTCGAGCATCCATTCATAGATTTTGTTCTGTGTGCCGAGAAATCATGGGATCCACTAAAACTGAGAAGGATGACTTTTTTGGGATTAATTTACTTATGGTTATTATAGAGGTGACATACAGAAGAATTACAATTGCATGAGTCAGGTCATGAGCACATTTCCTTTCATACAGTGTCTTCTGCTCCCTCATATTCTCCCAGTCCTTCCCTCCCTTCTCCATCTACAAGTTGTATAGTTCACTTTCATCAGTATCCAGTGAGCTCCATGGCTGCACTTTTTCACCCTTCTTCCCTCAAGAAGAATGATTTTAAACAGAAAATGTCCTGGGTCACTGCTTCAGGAAAGGGTACCTCCCTAAACTAATATTTAAGAATGAGAGCCTGGCACCAGTGGCTCACCCCTGTAATCCTAGCTACTTAGGAGTCTAAGCACAGGAAAGAAAACTCAAGAGCCTTTCTCAACCGATAATTGGGCATGGTGATCTTTCATCCAAGCTATGTGTGAAGTTGAGATCTAGAAGTCCATTCTAGCCTAAACAGAGAAGTCCTTGAGACTTCATCTCCATGGACAGAAGCTTGATGTGGTGGTGTGCCTGTAAACCAGCACTGATGGGAAGCCTAAAACAGGCACATCAAAGCTCATGCCTACACCCAGGCAGGGAGACCTTTATCCTAAAAATACTAGCAAAAAAACAGAGGTGACATACAGAAGAATTACAATTGCATGAGTCAGGTCATGAGCACATTTCCCTTCATACATTGTCTTCTGTGGCTCAGCAGTATAGCACCAACCAAGCAAGTGCAAGGCTTTGAGTTCGAACTCCAGTATTGCCTGAGCGTGAGGCAGGAGTGAATGGGCAGAAGGGGCTCCCACAAAGGAATCCAGAGCCAGTCACAGAAACAGCACGATGATGGAGAGAAAGTTCTAGAAGCCAAGAGTAAAATTTGTTATTCTTTTTTTTTTAAGATTCAATCATAGCACCAAGCACTGCTGGGTAGCCCCCCTGGGTTTTCCTACAGGAAACTACTGGGAAAGTCCTGTAGGAAATTCGTGTCAAGGAGACAGAAATTGGGGAGCCACTGGGATGTGAGGCACATGATATAGAAGTAGTGAAAATGTTCCTGTTTCAAAACCCCAAACTGCATTGTTGGGGCTTGGGGAGAAGGGTTGGTGTCTCCCGTGGATGGCGGTGTGGAGAATTGGGGATGATCTGTGAGGACAATGTTGGGCCTTCATAGTTATACAAAACTGGACAATGGGATTGGGAGTTGGGATGGGATACCAGGACGCAGGGCAGTCAGGGTGACACCAAGGCCAGACCTGGCATTACACATCCTTGAGCAAACTAGTTAGGAGCAGGATTAGGGAGTCGTTACTGGAATAAAAACTGTATCAAAAGCTGGATGCCAGTGGTTCACGGCTGTCATGCTAGCTATGTAGGAGGCTGAGATTTGAGGATGGTAGTTCCAGCCCAGGCAGGAAAGTCTGTGAGACTCTTATTCTGATGAAACACCAAAAAGCCAGAAGTGGATGCTGTGGTACAGCATCAGCCTTGAGCAAAAAAGCTCAAAGATAGTACCCAGGCCTTGATGTCAAGCCCCAGGACTGGCACTATAACCCATCAAAATAATCAGTATACTGCTAGGCAGGTAGATAAGAAATGTGTCTGGAAAGGACTCTGGAGATAGGGGACCAAAAGACACGACAACTTGCCCTCAGCTTCCTTCCTGAACCAGAGGAGAGCTGTTGTACAAAGTGTTCCTGCCATTGGAGCTGGGCAGCCTGAGCCATCAGCTCATTCATTCATCTGGACCCTTCCTATGAGGCTGGATAGACTAGGGGAAATGAAGCATGGTAAATGGAATTCAAAAAACTTAAGCTTAAAGATACTCATTCATCTACTTCCCTTAAGACTAAGGGACCAAAGTCATTTTAGGGGAAAAGAGGCAGAATAACTTGAGGAAAATAAGGCCTGGTGAAAGCAACGCAGAAACAGGGTATTTAGAAACACAGAAGCACCATCTTTGCTTCTAAGAGAAACAACAAGATTCATTCCTTCCTGGGAGATGCATTTCTCACCCCAAGAATTAACATTTGTTTAGCAGGATGTATCCTTTCTGGGAGAAATGCTCCTCCAAAATACAGACAACCAGAATGGTAACCTAGATCCAGAAACTTAGAAAGTGTAACAATACCAAGGATGACTGAGCACAAAGACAAACACCTACATTTTCATAACTTTGAAGTCAGACCTCCTGCATTTACCATGTAAACTCCCCCGACAACCAAAGAGCTGTCTCTCCTCTAGAGCACTCACACTCTTTTGGAGTGTCTCTGCCTTTCTGCTTGTTTGTCTGTCTGCATGTCTACTTGCCTGTTGCTTGCTCATTTGCCTACACAATAAAGGTCGTCCAAGTTTTCTTTTTATTATTATTGTGGGGTATTTTTTGATCAGTGATTGGGATTGAACTCTGGGCCTGGGCACTGTCCCTCAGCTCTTCAGCTCAAGGCTTAGCGCTCTAGTGCTTGAGCCACAGTGCCACTTCTGGCTTTTTTCTGTTTATGTGGTGCTGAGGAATCGAACCCAGGGCCTCATGCAT